TGGAAGATGGTGCGATTTCCAAACTTTGGAACTGGTAGGAACTTGTAGTCCACCTGAGCATTCCTTGGGTGTGCGTCAGCCGCCCTTACTCTGCTCTGCGCTGCCCTCATACCTTGAGGCTCTAATACTAAGTGAGGGCATTTAAGAAATTCAGTGACTCTGTTTCAGGCTTGTCCGCCTTGCAAACCGAATTCTACTGTCACAAGTTTTACACCGCAGTGTTCCATAATCAAACCTGGATGAATGGATCTGAGACTACAGTTGGCCTTGTACTTGACCGGCAGTAAATATCCGTCGGATAGTGTAAAGATAAGAATGGAAGGGCAAGCATGCAGTTATAACTCATTCGTTGAAGTCTTATTGCAGCATTTATGCACAAAAGTTTCGCTTAGACATCACCAAGGCCTTTTACATTATGGATTAGAATAGCGGGCATTTAATGCTCATAAGAAGCTAAATGTGGCGCAAAACGTAAGTTCTTAGATTACCCTAAGAAAACAAAGCACAACTAAAAAAACTAAAAGCCAACGTGTTTTCGAGAATTGATAAAATTTCCCAGTGGAACGGAGAGGAATTATTGCCACTGTCAAACTAGCAAATTATTTGTTAGAACATTTTCTAAGTGCTTTACATTATTTGCAAAGTTTAAAACTTCAATCAATAAATGATCAAAAATATTTTACCAAGAAAATTGTTGAAGATGAGAAACTCCATGCCCTAACATTCTAATAAATTAATTGAAATTTTACATAAATGGCAAACTGTCAAAGTTGTTATCATTGAATTCTAAAATGCAGAAAAATGACACCTTGTTGGGTAGCGAATGATGCCTAACCTGTGTACTAATAAAACATCAATTAAATAGAAGTGCATAAAATTATCAAGCAAATTTGAAACAATTTTGAATCCGCGGTGTTTGGAATGGCATATGGGCGCCAAGGTAATATATTGAAGCGAAGTGATTAAAGAAGCAGAAAGATATCACATACTGATGACTTGTGGACCGCCTTTGTACC